AAAAAAAAAACAGATTTTTCTTTTTGTAGCACTCATGTTAAAGTTGGTTAATGTAACTTGTATTTCTTTAGCACACACCTTTAGAGTGATTGAATCTCTTTCCCCCCTCACCCCTGCCTGAGAAGATGTCTTCTCAACAAATGCCTTTTCGGCTTTTTTTTTTGAGTTGATGATAGCAATCCCACTCTTATAGGACTCGAAATCGCTTCCGGACCAGGTGGTGGCTTCCGATTGACGGGTGGAGGTGCTCATCGAGAAGCCTTCTTGGCGGCAACTGTGAACGAGAGTTTCTCTGGAGAGACCCTCTCTCAGAGTATCCATGAAGTGCGCGATTTTATCCTGTCTTCGTCTAGCAAAAGTTTTTTGATGCTCAAAAAACCTTTCCAGGTGCACAATTTCTCAGCTGGCGAGGTGCTTGTCGTCAAGAACAAAGTGAAGACGAATGTTTTCGAAATGAAACCATCGGAAGGAGAAGTTGGCTTGGAGATCGTGCCCGATAGGGGTGACAAACAAGGTAAATTGTTCTTTCTTAAGTAAATCTCATTTTGGTCCAGATGATATTACATATGGTTTTTCAGGAGTAGACGTGCATCCCATCCCACCATCGAAATCATCCGGTTTGGATTTGACTACCTCAGCACCAGTTTTGACAGTAACACTACCTGGTGTGGTTTCCACACTAGGAGGTGCTTCTGCTGTCACGACGTCAATCCCAATCACAGAAATCCCAGTGCATACGTTCACTACAGAGGCGCCAGTAAGTCCATCTAACACCTGTTTCCAAGAGTTTCTCGGTTAATTGCACGGTTTCCAGGTTCCAACGAAAAATGCCACATCTGCGACCTTTTCTCACGCAACTGACAGTCATGGAATCGCCACTCCTGGAAAAGAAATCGCGGGAAGAACTAGCACTGTGGCCTCCTTCACATCTCATGAATCCTCTGGTGAAGAGCCAAGGACACCCTCTGGCACTGGAGATTCTACGGATCTACCGGACATTCGAACTTTAGCCAGATCAGGATCACCACATGAAGATGAAGATCTTATTGCGCAGAATACCACTTATTCTGCTTTCACAGATATTATCGGTGAAGTGGAACTCACAGCTGAGGAGAAAGTGACTCCTAGGACGGGTGTGAAATCTTCTATTAGTGATGAGGGCAGCGGAAATGACACTGTAGGCCAGGGAACGACACTTTCTGCGAGCTCTAGCGAGGAAGAAATTATAAAATTGTTGGGAACAACTTCTGGTGATGGTAAAGGCAAGTCAGGGACTGATTCAATATCTCTTGGAACTCCGAAAGCGGAAGGTACCAAGGTGATAGCGATTACTGGAACTTCTGAGGAGGCAGCCCAGCGTAGAGCATTACAATCCGGTACAACTCCACTTGGAAGCGGAGAAACCAGTAAGGAGCCGAAGATTGGTGACTCTACCACTGATGGACCAGCAAGGGCTAGTGAAGCCAGTACAGGAAAGACTGAGCCTGCCACATCGGAAAGCACCGGTAAAGGAAAGGAAACTATCACTGGCTCGACAACACAAGCAGGTAGTGCTCAAAAAGGAGCCAGTGCGCCAGGTGCGACATCTGCTGGTACCTCGGGAAGCACATCCGTTGGGTCAACAAAGTCTACGTTGTCTGAAAGCGCTGAAACCACAGTTGCAAGCGCCAAACTGTCAACGACCACTGGATCCACGACGGTTGGAACCACCTCTGAAGATGAAACCTTGACAACCTCGATTGAGACTTCTCCAGGAAGAGGAGCCACTGGAGCAAAAGCAACACCAACACCAGATTCAGAAAAAGAAAAAGCTCGAACACCTCCCAAAGTAACTACTGAAGGTTCATCCAGTTCTACTAGATCCCCCGCAGCTGGAGAGAAAGCAGAAACGAAAGTAGAAAAATCAACAAAGGCAACGCCTAGCCTTGAAAAGCCATCAGAAAACGAAGAGGGCTTAGAAATTTCTTTTGTTCCTACCGGAAAACCCACAATCCCAAAAGAATCGCAGAAAATCGGTCCAACAAATGTAGAAGGTGAGGGTTCTGGAGAAGACCTGAAGGGTAAAGGCAAGGCAGATAAGACCAGCATCGTTGTAAACGTGTCCACAGCGTCGGAAGCTCCCAGTGGAAGTGCCGGAAGCGGTCCTCTGATAGGAGCTGAAATTGTGCAGTTTGAGAAGGGAGAATTTGGCAGCATTAGTTCGGGTCACGTTAGGTTACCTGGAGGACCGAAAGTATCTGCTGGCACTGTCTCAAAAACAGTCTCAGGAACCCAAGGATCGGAATCGTCCCTAGAAGCTCCAGTCACAGAAGGACCTATCAATGGTGACGAAGTTGGATTGGAGATTGTACATCATGGCGGTAACGGTACCGCTCCGCCCGAATTGGGCCTAGAGATTGGCCCTATACGACCCAGAGTTACATCGAAGCCCGGAAAGCCAGACATCATTACTGATGGAGAACCAAGCGGCAGCCAAGAGATAATCGATGGTGTAACACCTAAGGGAAAGGGAACCACGAAAGCTCCACTTGCTGGATCCAGTGAGATTAGTGAAGGCTCTGGTGAAACCACGCCCAGCATAAGTGCAGTCGAAGCCACCCGTGCTCCTATTTCTTCTGTGACAGGAGTTTTGGAAGCATCTGGAGAGCCAAGCACTTCTTCTGAACTTACCACTACTGAGCAGCCTGATTTGGTTCTTTCGATAGGTACAACGAAAAAGAGTGACTCTGCTGGTACTACCGCCTTAGGAGAACAAGCCAGCATTACTACAGAACAACCTGATCTCGTTCTCTCGACAACATCCACACTGAAAGAAACCAGTGCCACCACAGAGCAACCTGATCTTGTTTTATCAATGGGAACGACACTGAGGACGGAAACGCACACGACAGGAACAGCTACCACGAAGGGAAGTGAAGCCAGCTTAGAAGAACT